GGGGCTCGGCACGGCGCTGCCGGCTCCCTGCCTCAGTTTCCCCCGGCCCTGCAACACCAGAGCCCCCAGGGTGCCACGGCACATCGGCTGAGCCCTGTTTCCAAGGGGGAGCCTGGAGGCCCCGGGGATGGGCGTCGCAGCAGGAGGCAGGCGGGAGCCAGCGGGGGGGTTATTAGAAAATAAAGTGTTTAATAAAAGAGCAGCTCCTGCTCCCTTCACAGCACAGGGGAGGGCGGAGGGGACCGACCGCTGGGCAGCAGGAGACAACGCGGTGACAGCCACGGAGCAGGGAGCCAGAGGGGGAGGGGGAGGAGGAGGAGGAGGAGGAGGGCTCCCACCCGGCAGCACCCTCTCCTCGGCTGGCCTCCATCCAGCGTTTCAAGTTCACACAACCAAGGGGGAAGCCCGAGGGGCTCGGAGGGTCCGGTGGGAGGCGGCTCAGGACCCTGCCAGGTAGATCCCTGCGGAGGAAAGGCGGTGAGGAGGGGCTACGAAGGTCAGGGGCATGTGCCCGGTGCGAGGACGGTCATCACCGAGGGGCCAGGGCCTGATGTGGGCCCCCGAAATGGGCTACCTGCACCCTTCCCCAGGCTGGGCATCGCTGTGGGGCATCACCCAGTGAGGGGGGAACAGAGCTTGGGGTGGTATGGAGTGGACCCCTTGCACCCCAGGGCCATGGGGAGCAGGGAAGGGACCCTGTGCACTCCGGGGAAGGGACTCTGTGCACCCTGGGAAAGGGACCTCATACACCCCAGGACCACGGGGAGCAGAGAGGGGACCCCCGTCCAACCTGGGAGAGGGATCCCACGCACCCCAGGGAAGGGAACCCATGCACCCTGGAGAGCAGGGAAGGGACCCTGTGCACCCCAAGGAAGGGACCCCGTGCACCCGGGGGCCACAGGGGATGGGGAGAGGACCCTGCACCCCCCAGGGCTGTGGGGAAGGGACCCTGCACCCCCCTGGGCCCCACCAGCCGTACCTGTAGCAAACCTCTTCTTGACTAGTGACATGCGGTACCCGGCGCTCGCCAGCTCCACCTCGACGCCCGACAGTGTGCTGCCCTCGCTGCTGAACTGGGCTGCCACGGGGCTGGGCTTGCTGGGCCCGCAGAGGGGCTCCCAGCTGGCCGAGAGCCGCCTGGGGGGGACAGCAGAGAGCAGAGA